CATACATACAGTATATAGTCTGGTTATAAATAAACAAACATTAGAACAAAATTAATTTTAGGGTTAAATCATTCTGTAAACACCGACCACAGTACTGAGAACATCAAGCCTTTACTACTTACTTTCAATTATACCATCAAACTAAACAGTATTTTGAGACTGAGCATCCCATCATACCATGAACAGTGCTTCCTGAAGGCAGAGTTGTACTTCAGCCAAACACTGTTACACTGACACATTTCATGAGCTGCTAACAAAGAAAAAAAAACCTGAGCAGCTTGTCAAAGCGATTAAGGTTATACCGAAATCCAAAAGTGCTTAAACAGATTTCACTGAAAAAAGTTAAGGTCCAATGAAGCAACCCACTTCAAAAGATATGCTGCACATGTCAGGCAACTCAGGACAACTCCCACAGGTCCAGTGTCAATCTAGAAAATACTAGGTCTGATAGATCTAAACAACATTAAGTTGGAGGTTGCTGATTTGACTGTATTTCTATTTGTTCCCTCAGGAGTTAATTTACTTTTCCCAAATGAAACCCCTCATTATCTCAAAGAATTATCAAGAGATACAATATGCACTAAAAATCCTCAGTGGTAGTAGTCTCACTAATGCAGAAGTACATGAGCACTTCCTGTAACATTGTACATTATCTGGCTGACATAATGTGAGTAGAAAACTAGGAAACACAAAGCAAAATAAAAGCAGTCTTTCTCAAAAATTAACCCAGTAGGTGGTATAAGGCGATTAAAGTGAAGCAGAGATACAGATATAAATATATTTGAGTAGCAACAGCTGACATCTAAAATTATATTCCTTGAATACACAAACGTACAGTATTAGTTTCACAGAGACTGAGCACAATACTACTTTAAAGATCAGCTGCCATTTAGTGCTGCTACTTCAGCACAAAAGCACAGCAGCTTATACCATCATACAGGCCAACTTGAACTTGTGCTCCTGCTGAAGTAGCATTTTCAGGACACTGATGTGCTTAATTCACAGTCTGTGCATTAACAAAGAGCTTCCTATTAATTAAAGAGGACTGCTGCCTGCCACAGATAGAGCAGATGTTGAACATGTTTTTTTCAGTTCCCTGTTAGCCAGCTGCTGCGCCAAGACACCCCTTCAGCTTTACAATCAATGTGCTCAGAGTGGATCTTCAGGCAGTGCAGGCATAGTTTTAACTGACTTTTTTTTGTCAATGTCACATTACATATTTATGTGTATAGAACTATTTGCTACTTGCAACCATATAGCTGTAGCACTTCCAAGGTAACCTGGGGGCTCTTCCTGCAGGCATGTCATATTTCTGCTGGAATGCAGTCATCAGTGTTAAAGTTTAGCATTTACATAAATGTTTTTAGAGTAGTTTTAAGCCTGCAGCAATCAATTTTTTTCTTGGCTTTATTTTAACTAGCCATTAGAGTTTATTTTTCTGACTAAATGGAAAACTTTCTCCAAATTGAAGCTGTTCAACAAGCAATCTACAACAGGTAAGATATTATTTATCTATAACATTTTTTACAGAAAACAAATTCACATTATCTTTAAAGGATTAGATAAGTCTGTTGTATGTTCCTCTGTGTAAAACTTTAGAACTGCCAGGTTTTCTTTTTTATTGACTACATACAGGAAATACTTCTTAAAATATACTAAATATTCTTAAAATTGAATGTTCAAAAAATGTTTTTTTACCTCAACATTGTCAAAGGCAAACAGGCAAGTGTTTTTGGCAGTGTCTGTTGTGTATCAAGAACCACCAGATTTTGTTTGATATGCATTATTTCAAGGATGATCTTAAAATAATACATATTTACTTTTTTTTTTTCAGTTTGTTTTTGTGAGAAGTTGACAAAAGCCTAAAATTTATATCACTCTTTTTCCATAAGTGATATTTAGAGATATCAGCAGCATGCAGTATTGTTTTTTTAAACAAATATTTTAAATACATCTTTTCAATCAAGCATTCAATCACGGAGGAAAACCAGTCATGCATTGACATGTAAAATAATCTGGTATAAATTCATTCTCGGTGATGGATCAGTGTGGTCCGCCCACTCATTGAGTAAGAGACAATGTGATTCATTTTGATTACGCACTAATGCTGTTGTTCCAGTTGATGAGTCGAGGGGTAAACCAAAGCTAATCCTGTCCCGAAGCTGAAGCTAAACCTGAGGTCCTGTCCCGGTTCCAATACCTAACCCTCTGTCTGCTTCAGCAAATCCCCTCCCTCGTCCCCAGGCTGATCCCAACACTGGACTGCATGTTTTCTTGATTGCTGCTAGTTCTATAGTCAAAACCAAATCCTGTTTTAGGAGCCTTTGGAGGACACAGCTTTTATTGTTAGACTTTTATGTGAATGCCTGAGTCTTTGTTCAGTTTAAGCAAGACTTGGTGATTCACCTTGATGAAGTGATGGTGCAACTGAAAATAAAAAGAACAAGATGATATCTTATGACAAGTGTCCTTTTCTGAACCATTTATTACGACATTCTGACAGCCTACAAAGCTGACTAATGGAAATTAAAAGAAGTGCACAGCTGTCACTTTTACCATTATTTTGTGCTTGAATCAGGATTTTGTTTTAATGGTAAAAACTGTGAAAACAATGCTCACAATTTTACTAAAAAAACAATAATCCAGGGGGGCTGTTTGAAACCATGTAAACTACCTAAAACAGTGATCTGCAATCTACGGCTCGGGGGCCACATGTGGCTATTTTGTCTCTCTGCAACAGCTATTTATAGCTTTTACCAAAAATAATATGAAAATGATTTTTTATATTTAGAACCACATCAGAAACTCTGTTTGTAGCAGTTATTTAGCCCAGTTTTAGAAATATGTGAGTAAAATTTCTTTAATGCTAATAAGACAAAGAACAATAATATCAATACAAATTAGAGTTTTGTATGTAGTATTTATATAAGATCTAAAAAGAGTTGTGCTTTTTTTATTTTTTACTTGAGTCTTTAGTTTTTTATTTTGTGCATAGGGGGCAGAAACGTCTCTTTCATTTGGAAAGATTGCAGATAGCTGGTTTAAAAGAGAAAAAAATCTTACAAACTGTTATCTTCTACAACACATATGGTATTAGATTACCAGGCTGGGATATGAAATGGTTTGTTTGACCACTGCTGACACAGAACAGCGATTATCTGTGATTAACAGAATCAGAGGAAACCAGGGTTAGCAGCCCCTGTGAGTCAGCACATTTCTCAGATTTCACAACGCTGCCAAAGGTAAATAACAAATGACCACATGAACAGCGGCCTCTCTGGAGCTTTGTACGTCGTCCTCGTTCTTAAGCACTCGAACAAACACAAACACACACCACAGTCCATAACTCAAGGTCTCATTCCATTAAGCTCTCAGCTGCCAGTTCTGCAGCTGTCATCATATTTGGCTGGGCAGACAGAGCAAACAGATGAAAACTTCTGCATAGCTTTACAATGAAAATCTCACACATTCGGGAGCAGATGAACAATTCAGGAACACAAAAGAAAGATGATTTTACATTTTTGTTTTTTTAATTTCCTACTTCGTTTTGACAGGATCTTTAGAGTTCATAATAGAAATAAACCCTATTCAAGATGTCCATCATGACTCATCAACTTTAGTCAAAACTAGGGGTATAAGGAACTGGTGGGAGCAGAATCACTTCTATTGTCTATTGTCTGCGATTGCTTTTACTAAAGAACAAGAAATGCCAGCAAACCACAGAAGAAGACATAGCGGGCAAATCAAAGAGAAATAATAATAATGGTGAAACGTAAAGATGATAACGTCAAAGAGGGAAAAAATAAAACAACACTTAAACTTTCCGAAGTTGGCTACATTTTACTGAAAATCAACTAAAGAAAGTAATACACAGACTTGGTCATTCCATGGCAGCACAGCAGCAGTAAAAACATGAGCACCTGAATTGCTAACAAGCCACTCATGCCGGGGAGAAGCTGCTATTTTGAGTTACTTGTAACTTAGCTGTTTGTTTAAAAGACTACTTGCAGGTTACTGTGAATTATATAATTGTATTTTTATTACATTTACATGTATACATGTAATGTTAAAATACATCTAATTCTAAAGCTATTACCTTTGAGGTTTAAATTCACGTTTCATGGGTTATTATAATTTGCAGTGAGAAGGTTTCTTTTCATGTAGAGACTGGATAACAGGGGGACATTCACAGTTATGATGAACAGGTGAGCTGAGATGTGCACTGGAGCTGGAACAGGAGGTGTGCCCATAGGAAGCATAGATGGACGTTGTGACAGAAATAATCATTGACTGATCGACTAACTGAAAAAAATTATTAGCAGATTAGTGGACTAACAAAATATTAGTTGCAGCCCTACTTTAAACCACTGTACAGATTCTAATGAAACAGTCAAAGTAATCAATGA